TATGCTTTTAAATTTTCAAATTTTTTACCATAGTATGTAATTATCACTTATCTAATTGATTCTAACTTTATTTTTTCTTTATAATAACATTTAGTAATTATTATATTTTTATTTTTTATATTTTATTATTATTAGAAAATTATATTAACTAAATAAATAAAATTTACTAGTTAAACAAAATAATTAAAACTTTATTTTTCATTTATTTAAAAATAGTATAATTTTTTCTTTGTTAAAATAGAAATGAGTGTGTGACTTACACTTTTATTAGTTAATTATTATTATTATTTTCATAAAATTAATAACTTTAATAGTAAAAAATATAAAAATATATATATTTAATTGCTTTTAAACAAACCATTATTAGTCATTTAATATTAAATAATAACTGTTAACTATTATATAATTAAATGGTTATATCAATCAAAATTTACTATTTACTATTTACAATTTGCTACCCCCTAACTACTAATTGTCACATGTTATCTGCTATTTATTATTTGTTATTTGCTACCATTAGATTTTAACTATTATACCAAACAAACACTAAGATTAGTAGAATATTATTCTAATATATCAAAACAATAATTTAAAAATTCTTATTTCACAAGCAGTTTAGATCTTAACTATTATTTACTAATTTTAAATTATTAAATAAAAATTTTTATCAAATATTTCATTTGTAATAATTTTAAAATAAATAAATTTCCTAAATATCTCTTCTATAATAATTTCAACAAAACCATTAATAACTACCTCCAAATTGATGTACCAAACATTCCTAAATTAGATAATCTGCAACAAAATTTACTTCCCCATTAAGCATGTAAAATTTGATCCTCAGAAAGCTACTGCATCAACGCCTTGCAGTCATTAACATCCACGTCAGTTAGTGTAGCATGTCATTATTAAAGTTTAACAAAAGTTGTGCAATTTTAGAATCAACTTTGACAATAAATTTGGTGTATCCTTTCTTAACAACTAAATTCAACCCTCATCACTCCCTTTGGTTTTCCGCGTCTCGGGTCACGCTACCTAAAATGGTGGATGAGGAAAAACTATATGAGATAACTATGTAAGTAAAAATATGAATAACCCTTACTGAAATTTAAAGCATGCCAGATAAACATTTTAATACATAAATAGAAAGGAAAAATATCTCAATTATAAACCATCAATGCAGAATAAACTCAATAGTGATCTCCTCAATTAGTCATGGGCAGTATATTATCCCAACTAGTAGAATAACAGAAATACCAATGTACGATCCCACTGGCAGGATGCCAGTATACTCTCCCACTGGTAGGATAATAGAAATACCAATGTACGATTCCACTGGCCAGATACCAATGTACTCCCACTAGCAGCATAGCAGAATTTCCAATGTATGATCCCATTGGCAAGATAACAAAGATACCAATGTACAATCCCACTGGCAGGATGACAGAGATACCGATGTACAATCCCATTAGCAAGATACCAGTGTATTCTCTCATTGGTAGGATGAATTGGTCCAATAGATATACATGTTGACATGTTCCAGCATTTATAACTCCCACTGGCAGGCATCACTAATCATGGCATATTGGAGACAATACCATGTAAGAGTTCAACCAAAAAATCCATAATTTACAAATAAGCAAGAGTTAACAGAAAAGTCATAGCTTACAAACAAATTTTCAGATTTCTAGAACAACTAAGTAAACTCCATGTAGGCATGCTCAACTCAATAAAAATAATAACAACTTCACCTTAGCCAATCATGCACGTGTTTGAGTAAAACAGGTTTAGTCCCACCACCACTTCAAAAATAGTTGAAAAAATATGCTTTTAAAACCTTTACCTTAAAATCTAAGGACATTTACCATGATTTTACTTATCTCGTCTTATAAGTAAACAACAAGTAAGAATTCAAGAGCTTAAGGCTGTTAAGGTGATTTTGAACATATATCATCTCAAATGCATAATTAGAATAGGCTTAAAACAACTCCAAATGTGGCACTAAATAGTAGGTATTCCAAACAAATTTTCTAGGCAAAATAAGATATAAAAATGTAAGAAATCGAGCTCAAAACCATCCTAGACACTAGCAAAAATATTGGGCAGCAAAGTGGGGGTTTCTAGCATTTAAAGAAGTCCCAAAATGCTTGGAAAAATACTTGAACAATGGCGATTTTCTGGGCAAAAAGACAACAACAAAACAAGGTAGAATACAAGCCAAAATTAGGCAGAAATGGACAACATTTAAGTAGAAAAACCATAGCAAAAGGTAGCCAAAATAAAGCGATAACAAGGGGTTTTAGGGCTGAAAAATAATAGCTAAAAGTCTACTAAAATGATGATGCGATATGGCAGCAAATAATGTGGGAATTGAGCAAAAAACAGAACAAATTTCTAGGAAAGTTCTAGTCAGATTTTGAACCAGAAGTTTCAACAGAATTCGCACAAAGAAAGTGACCAATTTGGGCTGAATGGTCAACAGATAAATTGTAGCCCTATGTCTTAGCATTCTATAGAATCAAGAATTATCCTAATCCGACATCTACAAAGAAAGTTATGGCCAAAATACTAACTTAAGGTTGGGCAACTAGTTCTATTCACTTTCGGGAAATGAAAATTGCAGCAGAGTTTTCACCATGAAAATAGCTTAACTTTGTTAAATGTCCAACATAAAAAATGTAGGGCTATCTCTTAACTTTCTACAGAATCAAGAATGAACTCAATCCAATATCTACAGCAAGACTTATGGGCAAAACACAATTGCAAGGTCGTGCTGTCAAAATTTCTAGCAATAGGGATTAGATCTAGTGGCATTAGGGCAAAACCAAGGAGGAAAACTACAAAAAATCCCAAAATTGAAAACCTTAAAAGATTTGAGTTAACCCAATTCAAATCAAAGATGAAAAGATGAGCAATATGGGTGATTTCTTACTAGAAAGTGTTGCAAAAATGGCAATCTCTTACTATGGACAGCAAACCCAACACAAACCAAAAAAATTTAGGGAATATCAGTAGCAAGATTTGGGTTTTTATCATCATTTCGAGAACCATGAGCACATAAATCTCTAAATCTTGCTAAGAGAAGGAAGAAAAGACTAAGTCTCACCTTGTTTTTCCAAAGAGGAGATGTTGGGCAAGTTAGGGCTTGTGGGTTGCAGAGCTTTGGGTAAGGAGGTAGGAGAAACATGCACAAATGGACAAGGAGAAAAGAAAATCAGCCTTGGCCCCTTTTATCATTGGATTTCACTTTTAACCCTCTTAGGTTTGTGAATTTTACCATTAGGCCCAACAATAATAATTTCTACCATGTAAATCCTTAACTTAGATTCAAAAATTTCAGAAATTTTTGGGATATTACAATGCTACTAGTGATTCAGCATTTTTCACAAGTAATCAGTGATTATTTCACTAATCAATAATCGCCACTTACTGATTCCAAGACTTTTTGGTGCCTTAAAAAAGGGGAGCATTTTTAGTTGGCTAAAATTAACAAAATAGTCTACTAACTTTGAATCTTTTATCTATTTTATGTATTAACTATTTTTTATCCCTAATTAGCCTATTAACTCTCAAAAGTAAATCAGATTGTCTTACCCTATTAAGGTTTCGTCAATAGAGAAAACATAAATCTACGTTAGCACTTATGTTGGTGCCTACCTGGCGCCGAAGCACCATGTCATTTTTAATTAAAAATTAATTAAACTTAAAATTTAAAGTTTATAATTAATAAAAAAATAAAACTAGAATTCAAAAGGATGTAAATGCCCTTGTCTTCTTCCTCATGTTTTCTCTCTTGTACTTAGTGTTTAAAGTCCAATCTGGTGATAGACCCATTTTGATCATCGAGTTTGGTTCAACTAGTTGAACCAATTTAACTAACTAGACCAATTGGTCAACTTAATAAATGCCATTTAATTCATTTTATTAATTATAAATTATTTTTACTTCGATTAATTTTATTTTTAAAATTGATTGAAATCATTTTTATATTTATTGATTAAATAATTATTAATTTTTAAGACTTTATTTTCAAATTTCAATAATTTGAAATTAATTTCATTCATTATATTTATTAAAATACAATATATTTTTTTAATAGGCATTTAAAACATTGATATCATATTAATTATAAAATTATTTTTTCCTTTTATTGGTTTTCTTTCAAAAATTGCTTAATATTAGTTTTAATTTTAAATTGATTTTATTTAATTTTAATTTTGAAAAGGTTTCATTCATTTTATTATCTAAAGTAGTAATTGATTTTATTTCCAATATTACTTAAGATTAGTTTTAATTTAAATTGATTTCATTCATTTCGTTATATAAAGTAGTTATTTATTTTATTTTTAAAATCAAATTAATTTGATCTTAAGTTAAAATCATTGTCTAATTTGAAACAATAATTTAATTTTAAATTACATTTAAATTAATTTAAAAATTTTCATTCATTAATTGTTATTTGATTTTAAATAGATTTTACAATTTTGATATTATATTATCTATTAATTGAATAAAAAGGAATATAAAAATTAAACAAAAAAAAAGTGAAAATGTTAAAAAAAGTTGAATTAGTTGGGCCAGCTGAGTTAACCGGGTTTGGGCAAATTTGACTGAGTTTGAGCGGGTTTGATCAAGTTTGACCAAAAATAGGTTATTATCATAACTCGACCCATTTTTAGAACCAAGTCTAGTTTACGTGGTTGAATCGACTAGGCTGGACCAAGTTTCAAAATAGTTACTTCCTCCTCCTTCTCTGGCTAAATTCAATAAATAATTTATTAACTATGTGATTTATTTCAGTTTAGTATAGAAAACAAATTTTTTTAAAAAATGATCTATAAACTATCAATTTTATTTCAAAATGATCTATAAACTATCAATTTTATTTCAAAATAGTCTACTTAACAAATATTCCATTAACTAACTAACTGACTAACGAAATTCTTTCTAGCTATTGATAAGCTACCCCTAAACTTTTAAAAAATGTTAAATTTAGTATATATATTTTTGTTTTTTTTTTTTGCAATATTTTATTTTTGAAATTTAAATTTTATGTTAAATATAATAATTAATTAAAATAATAATTTTAATTTACAACGATCAATATTATAATTTAAATTTTATTATTTCTTAAAAAACTTAATATCATTATTAAATTACATGTTTTTCACTACTTTGTATAGAGAAATAAAAAATTGTAATTTTATTTTTAACACTAATAATACATGCATGATTTTAATTTGGGGGTTTATAAAATTGAAATGAACTTTTATTTTTTCAAGTAATTTTAATTATATGTGGGTGCTCATTTAATTAAATTAAATTTTGGAAGGGTTTATTTATTAAAAATATTAATATTTAATAATAAACTAAAATTTTTTAGAAATTATAAAAATTATAATATTGATTATTATAAATTAAAATTAGAATCTTAATGAATGTAAATTGAGATTTTATCTTGGTTAATTATTATATTTGACAAAAAAATTTGAACTTCAAAACAAAATGTTGTAAAAAATAAAAATATATGTATTATATTTAACATTTTTCAAAGTTTAAGGGGCAACTTGTCAACCGCTAGAAAGAATTATGTTAGTCAATTAACAGAATGTTTATCAAGTAGACCATTTTGAAACAAAATTGGTAGTTTAGAGATCATTTTGAAAGAAAAAATTGTTTCTAGACTAAATTGAAATAAATCACATAGTTAATAGATTATTTATTGAATTCAGCCTCCTTCTCCCTTTCCCATTTGAGTGGTTAGGCATAAATGGATACCTCAACGCCTTTCTCGCATGGCCAGCAACATATCTAATTATCATCAAACTTGTTGGTTGTTACTAGATGCTGTTGGAATTATCTCTTAAATGTAGCTCATAGCCCATATGCCACATTAGTAAACTAGATAAAACTAATTAAATAATTAAGGTAATGGTGATATTATTTGTGAGATTTTCTCTAGCTAAAAACCCACATACGAAGACTTTTGAGATTTTTAGGATGCACGTCTTTGATGATAACAAGTTGTTGTCAACAATTTAATAGATGGGTCCTTAGTCTAGCTTATAACTATGCTTGTGGTTTTTCAATCAACTCATTGGCTTTCAATTTTCTAAAGGTAATAGACTAAAAGTCTTCATGTTTTCCTAATCATGTTTTCCACTTAATCCCAAAGCACCAACCCAATTTCCTCATCTTGAAAACTACACCATATACAATCATCATCTTCCCCATAGCCTTGGTATTGTTTAACATTTGATTTCCTAGCAAAAGTTTTATTGTTGTACTATGGCAGTAGCACAGGATAAAAGATTTTGGATGATTTGCTTGGATTGAATTAATTCTTAAACAATAATAGTAAGAGGTTAGTAAATTTAGTTTTGTTGCAATTTGAATATATTTTTAATATTTTGGTACAATGTTGTTTTCATCTATTGAGCGATTTTACATGACATAAGATTCTAGATATGCACTAAATGGAGTTAGGAAAACATGTGATCAAGATTTGAGGAAAGTTTATGTATTTAATTATTTATTGCAAGTCAAAGTTTCATGTTTCAAATTTATCATGTACCCAAATTAGGTTGATATGAAAGAAAGCTTGACATGTGTGTATATATATATATTGAATCTAGATGCATTTTATTACTAGCATGTATTTTAAAATTCATGATACATTAACTTAGGAGTAGCTATAGCATCCTAAGGATTTGTGAATTTATGATTAAAAAGGATATAACTTATAAAATTTTACTTAGAAGTAATTGTTTTGTAAACTAAAAAGAATGGTGGCAATAACTAAAGTTTTAAATTTAATTTCCTAATTCCACAGATAAGGAAATTCTAGATTTATTACTACTCTTATTGTTTCAAGTTTTTTTGTAAATTCTATGCTAGTTGCACCTATGCCTACAAGAAAGGTAAGAATTTATTATTTGAATATTACTTCATGGAAATAAAAATCATTGTATACATTTCATTTTGCAACTATTCCTAACTCTTTTGCTTAAGATGCCCCAATACTTTCTTATGACAATTTTGTTGATTGGAAGGAGAAAATCCCCTTGTTTCTTAATTGTATAAACCTTGACTTGACACTCCCAATGGATGAACCTTCTGCTCCCATGGAATTAAGTACTCTAGATGAGAAATCCAAAGATGAAAAGTAGGAGTGATCCAATCATTTAAGCCTAATGATCATGAAATCTTTTGTGAGCATATATAAGTTTGAGGGGTTCTATCCTTGAAATGGATAAGGTCAAGGATTTCTTAAAAGCTATTGAGGAACAATTTGTCACACTTGACGAGGCTCTTGCCAATACTCTTATGAGGAAACTTTCTAGTGTGAAGTTTGACTATTCTAAAGATGTGTGTGAGCACATAGTGGAAATGAGAGACATTGCTTCCAAGCTAAAGTATTTAAAAGTCAAAATCTCATATTCTTTCTTGGTGCACTTGTGCTGCATTCTCTACCTCTTGAGTTTGGCCTTTTTTAGGATTTCTTATAACAAATATAAGGATAACTAGTCAATGAATGAACTTTTGACCATGTGTGTTTAAGATGAATGTCACGCCCCATAACCCAAATCTGGGGACGTGGCAGACGCCGTGCACTCGTGAAACAGGTACCACGAATGCACAAGGCTCGAAACTTATCATACCATACTCTGATACCACAAAATCAGAAGATAAAAATTTAAAATTTGCTTTGATATCATAAAATCTCCAAATAAAGTCTAGCTTACAAGATCATGATTTATATCTAAAATCCATGTTCAATTTACAAGATGGCTAACCTTCTAACTTGTCACTCCCCTCGTTTTTCCCCGTCCTTGACTTCGCTTCCTGAAATGATGGACAAGGAAAAACTATGAGATAACTCAGTAAGTAAATATGGATAGCCCGTGAGTAAAATTTTAGCATGCCTGATAAACAGTTTAACATAACAAAACATTTAATGATAAACCGTTAATACAGAATTAGATTTAGTTCAATAACAAAGCGTTCAATGACAAACCGTTAATGCAGAATAAAATTCAGTACTAATCTCATCTATAAGTCATAGCTAGTGTTTAACAAACTCCCACTGGCAAACGTCAGTAATAACCAGTGTTTAACAACTCCTACTGGCAGGCATCAGTAATTACCAGTGTTTAACAAACTCCCACTGGCTGGCGTCAGTAATTACCAATGTATTCGCCCATTGGCAGGCGTCAGTAATTACCAATGTATTATCCCATTGGTAGGATTACAGAATGAACCGGTCATATCAATAAACATGTCGACATGTGCTAGCATTTGCAAACTCCCATTAGTAGGCGTCAATAATTAGTAATCATGACCATATCAGAGAAAAAACCATGTAGGATTTATAGAAAAATCCATAATTCACAATAAATCTCAAATTCCAGAAATAATCGAAAAATTTCCATGTGAGCATGGATTTAACAGAAAAATCAAAATTTACGAAATTCTCAATTCATTAGGGGCAGTTCAGTCAATTCCAAGTAGGCATGCTCTAGTCAATGCAAATGAAAACAATTTCATTTCAAACCAATCATGCTCGGTGCTAATAAAATCAATTTAAACCTTGCCACCATCTCAAAAACAATTTAAAATATGCTTTGAAATCGAAGGGCATTACCATAATTTACTTACCTCAAATCCGTAATACCGGAAACTCAAGCCAAGTGTTTGGGTGATAGAACACTCAAGAACCTAATCAAAATACCCCAGAATTAATACCGTACTACCACAAATTCAAAGTGAAAACTTCATTAGGATCACCCCCTAATCAAGATACTATTTATATTAACCTTCACATGACCGGGCACCTCTAATTTCATTCTTATTAGAAACTAAACATTTAAACCTTCCTATCATTGGCCATTAGAGCGTGAATAGTAATATGTGAACAGTGCCGTGAACAGTAATCATGCAGTGAACAGTCACTACAACTTCTAGAATTTGGCAAAACAATGGCTAATTCACGAGATTTTTCCATATGAACCTCACAGCAGCTAAATCAAGAGATTTCTACATGAATTAAACTAAAAACACAACTTGAAGCACTACTAATTTCTTCTATATTTCGATAGAAATTGAACAGTACAGGGGCAACAATCACATGGATAATTTTAGCAATTAAATGGGTAAAAGTTGAATTCAAGGGGTTGCCACATACCCAAAACCTTCCGGCAAGTAGCACTGGGTCCGGCCATGAAGGAAGCCAACGGGGAAAAAGAAATGGAGGAACTCACGGCAACTACCAAATTCAAGAATCCATAACAAAATTAGAGTAACCCAAGCCAAATTAAGGGAGAAAAGATGAATTTAATGGCTGTTTCCCCTTACCAGAACCAGAAAAATCACACCCACACCAAGAGCAGTAGATGGACAGGAGAAACAAAGTAGAGCAGATCCGAAATTCTACAGAGGGGGCGGGGGAGATTTCTGGGTTCTATATGCGTTCTAGAACAAGAAAATAAGGAGAAATCCCCAAGCTTTTACCAGTTTTTTTTTTTTTTTTCAAGGGGAGGTGCAGTCGGTGGTTGGGGTTCTTTGCCAGCTGCAGGGGAGAAGAAGAAGAGCAAGACGCGTGGATAAGGAAGAAGAAAGAAAGAAAAAATTCAGCCATCCTTATCCTAATTTCCTTCCTCTTTTAAGTCCTTCAAGTTTAGAAATATTCACTATTAGGCCCCAAAACAATATTTTCCCCAAAATGACTCCCTAATTTAAATGATAAAATTCCCAAAAATTTGGGATATCACAATTAAGAAAGATTAAAGCATCAAAAACTTGATGAAAAGCATGAGGTTGCTCATCTTGTGACTCAATCAAAGGGTGAAACTTCAAAGGGAGGTGAGAAAAGGTTAAACAATACTTACAAGGGAAAGAAGAAGATTGGAAATGGCCATTAAAGCTTCATTTTGATGAGGATACTTGCTTCTTCTATAAGAAGAAAGGGCACATGAAGAAGGACTATGCCAACTACAAAAAATTGGTTGAAAAAGAAAGATACATTATTCTCTTTATTGTGTCATGAATGTTCTCTTATTGATGGCCCTTATAACACTAGGTGGATTGATTATTGATCTACAATTCACATTGCTAATACTATGTAAGGCTTTCTGAACCTAAGGAAGCCAAAGGAAAGTGAACAAGGCATTTATTTAGGCAATTAATGCATTCACAAGTTAAAGGTGTGTGAACTTTTAGACTCATCTTAAATAATGGCTTTGTTTTAAATTTGGAAGACACCTTTTATGTTTCATCTTTTTCTAAGAATTTGGTTCTAGTTTCTAGATTTTTAAATAATGGTTTTAGCTCTATTCTTGAATATTGTTTATCTAAAGTTGTTTGTAATAAAAATGTTGTCGTTTTGGAAGTTTAATAAATGGTTTATTCAAATTTGATTTGGCTTCCACACATGAGCAAAGTTATTTTACTTTGGATGATAAAGCATGATAAAAGTGTTGGCACTAAGCAAATTATTATCAATGAGAAATTTTTTAACCTATGACATAGAAGATTAGGTCACATCTCCATTCAAGGGATTAAAAGATTAGTAAATGATGGGGTTTTAAATACTCTTGATTTCATTGATTTTGGGACTTGTTTGAATTGCATTAAAGGTAAACATACCAACAAGTCCCATAAAGGTGCCAAAAGAGAAACAAAAGTTTTAGAGATCATACCCATAAATATTTATGGATAATTTTCTACTCCTTATTTTAATGATCAAAAATAGTTTATAACATTTATAGACGACTACACAAGGTTTATGTACTTCTACCTTTTATATGACAAAGCTAAAGTGTTGGATACATTTAAAACATATAAAGCAGAGGAAGATCAAAGCAAAAGAAGGTATTGTTACTCAACATACAATGCCCGAAACACCTCAACAAAATGGGGTTGTAGAAAGAACGAACAAGACACGTATAGATATGGTAAGAAGCATGATTAGTCACATTAATATGCCTTTATCTCTTTAGAGTGAAGCCTTAAAGACTGTAGTGTATATTTTAAATTGAGTTCCATCAAAAGCAATTTCAAAAACTCCTTATAAGTTATGGAAAGGATGGAAGCTAAGTTTAAATCATATGCAAGTTTGGGGTTATACAACATAAGTGAGGATTTATAAGCCTCAAATGAAGAAACTTGACCCTAGAATAATTAGTGGTAATTTTATTGGCTATGTAGTAACTCCCAAGGATATAGATTCTATTGTCCATCTCACCCATCAAGAATTATCGAAGCTAGAAATGCAAAGTTTCTTGAAAATCTTGAACTTAGTGAGAGTTGTACTTAAAAATTATTTTTTTGATGAAGAAAGGAATAAAATTGATGTAGCCACAAGTAGTAATTGTTGACGACCACTTAAAATTTTCAAAAATTTATATGAAAGAAGATTAATGAAAAATTAAGTGTGAAAAAAAAGGGGGAAAAGAATGGAATTGCCACTCGTCTAAATTACAAGGTGGGATAAGTCACCTAAAGCATGGTTTGCATAGAGATCGAGCTTCGAGGGGTATGATTAGGACTAAGAAAGAGCATGCGTGCACCTCACAATTCTCCATGTAAAACACGGTTGCATACTTTAACATTTGAGAATTTATTCAACCCTTTTTTAATTTTTGTTTCCTTTTTTTTTTTTTTTTGATTAAGTTAACTTTAAAAGTGAATGGATGAAACTGCAAAGTTTGAAAATATTTGGACTAAATTGAAACAAAATCAAGAACATGAATGCACAATTGCAACAAAATTAAAAGTGGAAGAACTGATTTGATTAAATTCAAAATATGGAGGACTAATTTGAAAAGATTTCAAACTAGTGAGCCAAATTGCTTAATTACAAAAAAGTTTGGGTGAAATTAAAATTCACTAAAAGATAATTTTGATTTTAATTAAGAAAATAGACCATTTATATTAATTGATCATGATTATCATAATCATTTGATTTATATATCTATTTTTTACCCTTTTTTTTTATCTTTTACCCCTTTTTTTTAGGTTTTTTTTTTTTTTTAGTTCATAGACTTATTGTCTCAAGTCGACCCAACCCAGAAACATGATCCAATGGCCCAAATGGGTGAAAGAAAATCAAACTTAAGTTCAATAATTGGGATTTTAGGGTTGTTTTTAGCATATTTCATTTCTAGCAAAAGAAAATTATGCCAAACTTCTATCAAAATGCAAATTTCCAAAAGATTCAATAAAAACTTAAGAAAATTGATGAGCTAAATTTATACAAAAATTAATGTGAAATTTTTGCCTTGATATTATTGATATTTTAATTAGTTTTATGAGATTTTATTTGATTTTATATAACTTTCATCTCTTTGTGTAAGAAATGACTTAATTGGAAAAAATCATAATTCTTAGAAGCAAATTGCAGAGATCAGAAAGTTAAAAATTAAGTAGTGTAGAGTTCAGAAGTTAAGGACCAAAACTATCATTTTACCATTAACAGAAATTGCTTAGAAAGCAATTTCCCAACACGTATGCACTTAACAAAAGGTGTCGATCCCTTATGTGATTTTCAAAAAATCCATGCCTATCTCATTATTTTGGTGTGGGTCTCACTTCTATTTCAATTAGGTTTTCTAAAATCCTATAAATACTCATTCAAGTTCAAAATTAAAGGGAGAGCTTTAGAGGCTGGTGACAGCCCTTTTTTTGGCACTCTTAGAAATCAAGATATAGAGAATACATCAATAATAGAAAATCAAAAGAATTTCAATCTCTTCAAATTGAGTTATATTTTTTCTTAGATTCTTTTTATCTATTATTTGATAGTTGAATGTTTATAACTATAATTTCAGGTTTTATTATTTTTATTATGAATTAATTTAGCCAACTAGGGTTATAATGTAGCCTAATCAATTCAATATAAATTTTTATGATTTTTATATTTTTGAGATTACTATTTCTTGATAAGTTTATATTATTATTTTTAATGCTTTTTATGCTTGATCACCATTAAAACTAATTTGGAGAGCATATTTGAGACCAAGAGAAGATTTTTTGCAATAGTTTCTAATAATATATACCATGAATTGAACTAAAGGCAAAAATGGACCAACATGGTTTGTGCAACATTAGTGGTAAGTGGACTTAATTTTCTACATAAACTAGAAAATTTCACAGAACCTAATGCATCTTTATTTATTTAAATTCATATAGAGATATTGTGGGTTAATACGTGAAGATAGGTTTGGTATAACTTAAGAAAGTATATTGAATAGAATAGGAAATCTCATTGTCACATGAGTAGTAACATCTTGAAGTATAATAATCTAAAATCTATATTGTTTAGTTATGGTGAAGATTGTTATGTTCTTTTTATTATTTGAAATTAAAGTCTATTCTTTTTCAATTGTTCAAATAAATTTAGATTAATTATTTGATACTTAATTAATCACAATCCTTGTGGGTTCAACACTCTACTTATCATTGTATTACTTGAAGTGACTAGTACACTTATTAGAATGATTTTAGCATATCAAGTTTTTGGCACCATTGCCAAGGATTGTTGATTTAATTAATATCGAAGTTGATTAATTTTAGATTTAGTTTGAACATTTTCTTTTATTTTATTTCTTTGATTTTTTTCGTTTCTTTTGTTTTTATTTTTATAGGTTTAACTATGGATCAAGTTGTCATAGACACTAATATGAATTATCAATGTCTGGCTCCAGAGTTAAGGGCACAAGTTGAAGTAATAACTATCAATTGAAAAGCAGAAATTGACAATGATGAACTTGAACAATTTCACGTGGTCATTGAAAAGTTTGAATTAAAAAAGGCTATAATAGAACAAGTTAATATTACTTGTCAATGGTGTGAATTAAAGCATTTTAGTTCTGATTGCTATTTTGAACTATCTAACAAAAATGCAAAATTTTTTTTGTGATTTTTATAGCCAGTAGTGTAATTCTTATCCCAACACATACAACTTTGATTGGATAAATTATCCAAACTCCTCATAGGATAATGAAGATATACTGGAGCCACAATCAAGCTTTTGAGCTCAAGAAGAGGAGACATGTTGGGATAAAAATTTGGAAGTTCAATCAAGTTATTTACTTAACTTAGTTGCTGAAGAAATACAAGGTGAGTTTCCTAGTGCAACAATGACAAATCAAGAAGAATAGGTAAACACTTTATCCTTGGAGATTGAAGGACAACTTGGAGAAGTGGAAAGGATACCTATAGAAACTACACAAGAGGATGTCCCTAAGGAAGAAGAGGAAAAAGTTCAAGTGTCATTTAAAGTGTTTAATGGGAAATCTCCACTAACCAAATCTGATTTTAATAATTATTTTGTTATTGATATAGTTGATGAGATTTTGCAAGAAAACACTTATGAGGATCCATTTGAGATTTATCTTATTCAAGCAAAGGATCCAATCAAAGAATCTTCCTTGGAATCAAAGGGGGCAATCCTAAAAGAATTGGGAAGGCACATCTCTTGGCCTAAACTTAGTTTTGGCTTGTTTTAACATTGTTTTGCTGCTGCTATTTGCCCATAAATCCTTGTTGTTTTGCCTAGAAAATTTCTGTTGTTTAGGGCTTTTTCCAAGCATTTTGGGATTGTTTTAAATAGCAAAAAAATCCCCACCTTATTGCCTAGCTTTTGTGCTGATATTTTGGGGTAGATTTGAGTTTGGTTTCTCATACTTTTCCGCTTTATTTTGTCCTGTAAATCTAACTTGTAAAACCACCAAATGTAGGTTCTTTTGGAGCTATTTTAAAAGGGTAGAGGTGATCGAGCTGTGTAAGGAGAAGTTGTTTCTTCGATTAAGAAACTTGATATTGGAATTACAAATTAATTTAGTTAAATGAGGTATTTTGTAATCTTGTTTGTTCTTTGATGTGGTTTAGGTTCTAAATCACCTCAAGCACCTTGGCTTATTGAATTCCTTGCTTGTCATATACCTACAAGGCGAGGTAAGTAAAAGTATGGTAATGCCTTTGGATTTGAGGTAAAGGTTTTTGAAAGCATATTTCTTATGGTTTTTGAAATGGTGGTGGAACTAAACTCGTTTTACACAAACACAAGCATGATTGGTTTGAAATGAAATTATTATCATTTTTGTTGAGTTGAGCATGCCTATTTGGAGTTTACTCGACTGCCCTGATGATTTGGAAATTCTTTGTAAATTATGGTTTTCTTGTTAAATCCTATCTAGTTTTATCTCTAAGATGGTCATGTTTTATTGTGCTCGCTAGTGGGAGGTTTATAAACGCTAACACATGTCGACATGTTACTTATGGAACCGGTTCATTCTTGTTATACATGTTATCCTACCAATGGGATTATACACTAGTAGATCTTGTGCCCGCCAATGGGAGGTTTATAAACGCTGGCCATGACCTATAGAAAAGACGTCTATTTCATTTTCGTACTTATACCCATTTTTCTTGATACTTGATTACACTTGTTGGCATACTATAAATTTTAATTAAGGTTTATCCATATTTTTACTTGCTGAGTTATCTCACATAGTTTTCCTTATCCACTATTTTAGGTAGTGTGACCGAGATGTGGGAAACCAAGGGAAGTGACGAGCTAGAAGGCTAGCCATTGTATTTTAGATGTAGATTTTGAGTTGTGGATTATTCTTTATAAGCTAGATTTTATTTTAAAATATTGATCTAAGTTTACGTGAACTGTTAGTAATGAATTTAGCAAGTTTCGAGCCTTGTACATTTGTGGGATTCTCTCACAAGTGTATGGCGTCTATTTCGCCCCAGGATTTAGGTTATGGGGCATGACAATAGAGGCACCTAGTTTGAAAGGGGACAAGTTCAGTAACCTTCATTGTCCACAAAAGAGTTGCAAAAGGAAAAGATGAAAAACATTCCATTTGTAGTGGGGAAGCTTGATGCATGCAAAAGTTTGTGCTAGATATCAAAGCAATGTAAGAATGGAGCATTGGAAAGCTATCAAGAAGGTCTTGCAATATCTACAAGGAACCAAGAATCACATGCTTACCTATAAATATTGATAATCTTGAAGTGATTGGTTATTCAAACTTGAATTTAGAAGGATGTTTAGATACAAGAAGGTCTACTTGAAGATACATTTTCCTCATAGAAGGAGCTATACCTTGGAAAAGTGTTAAGCAAACATGCATTTCTACATCAACCATGAAAGTTGAGTTTATTGCGTGTTTGGAGGCTACTTCACAAGCAATATGATTAAGGAATTTCATTTTTGAATTAAAGGTTATCAATTCATTAGCAGGGCCACTGATAATATTTGTGAAAACTTGGCTACAATTTACTTTTCTATGAATGAGAAAAGTGGTAGTTGCAGTAGAACCATAAATATAAAATATTTTAAAGTTCAAGAAAATGTCAAAAATCAACAGGTGGATATCCAACATATTAATACCAAACTGATGATAGCTGATCCCATGACCAAAGATTTATCAGCAAAACAATTTCAAGATTATGTAAGTTAAATGGGAATTTGTGATTCATTTTAATCTTCAACTTATGTAATTTTTTATGTTCTTAGAATTCAAGTTTCAATACTTTCATGTTTGTGAACTTAACGTTTATGTTGAAATAAGGACCCTTGATTTTTTTTTTTGTTGATTTATAAAGTAAATGTTTTATGTGAAAGGTTTCTTACATTGTAATGCTTAAAAAGAAGTACTCTATTTATGAATGTCTTCACCAAGATACATGTTTTGAAAATTTTCAAGTTGTATTATTTACACACTACAAACAAAATGACCTATACTAACGGAACTCTGTACCAATGGATGGAAGTCCGTCTGTATAGACCCATATATACCAACAGAAAACTTAAGTAGTCACTATACATCAATCTATACCAACAGAAAAATATATCTGTTTGTATAGAGTTGGTTTATACAAACAGTTTATATTTATCCGTCTGTATAAAGTATATCTATTCCGACGATAATCATTATCCATTTATATAAGGGCAGAACCCTCAAATCCACCCTCAAAAAATATCGATAGGGACACATCCACCCCTCAAAAAAAAGTAGGGACAAATTGCCCCTCCAAATCATAAATCAATACAAATCACCTCTTTTTCAACATTTTCTGTTAAAAAATGTTGACGTGGCAAACGAAATTCTGACATTTTTCATTGAAAAAGGGGTGATTTGTATTGATTTATGATTTGGAAGAGCAGTTTGTCCCTGTTTTTTTTTTTAGGGGTGGATGTGTCCTTATCGATATTTTTTAAGGGTGGATTTGAGGGTTTTGCCTTATATAAATGTATCTATACAGACGGATTACTATTCCGTCTGTATATTTCCCTATTTCTTAAACACTTTATTTTCCTTTGCCGCTAGCTTCATTTTTACTTCCCTTCATGGATTTCCCATTTTCCCTCTTTAATTTCCGAGCTTTCTTCCCCAAATCTCCAAAATTCATTCGAACCCATTCAAACTCAGAAACCCAAATTTTAATTAGATGTTTGGCTGTTGAAAGGCCACCATAAGAAGACTCAAAGCTCTTGTTTGATCCCGCTCCCTGTACTTTCCTTTACCCACAGAAAAAAGCCATGGTTGGAGGTCAATTTTGGCTTGTGCAACCCGACGATGGAGGTCAAAGAAGGCAAATTGGAGGGTTGTGAGGGTAGGATCAGACATAAGTTTAGAGCATCCTCTTACCCCTTATAAATAGGTTGTTAATAGTGAGAAAAGGGGGATTTCGAGAGGAAGCTGACAGGGAGAGGAGAAAGAGGTTCATGAGTTCTGGCTCCTTGGGAGGTGTCGGCGATGAAGAGAATTTGTCATTCTGTTGCTGAAATCTTTGTTTCCTTGGGCAAGTTTTTAGGTATGATTTTTTATTCTCTTTTTGCTTACCCTTGTAATTCCTCCTCATCGTCAGCATGCTTATTCCACGTGCTCTTAAGGTTGTTTTCTTTGTGACAAAAATGAAATGAAAAGTAGAAAGAAGAGTTAATTAGTATACCCATTACCAAGTTTTATTTTCCTTCTGAAAATGATATATAATAGGAAAATTTGTCATTATTCAATTATGGTTCTGCTTTAGATGGAGTTTTAGGTTAATTTTTTAATTTTTTATTGCCATTATTATGGTTAATTTTTCATGTAGAGGGTATCAAGACGACGCAAAGCTTTTAGGAAGGTGATTTTTAGGACTCTGAAGCTCTTCTTGTTGGGCCATTTGTTACAAGGTTACTTTCATTTTCTTTCTCACCAATATTAGAAATTTCACAATGAAATGTATTAAAATTAACTATTTTTGGAATCAATCTCCTAACTTTTCATAGTTATGTTGTGAAGGGGGCTTTTCTCATGCTCTTGACAAATTACTAACTTATGGGGTTGATATGAAAATGCTAAGATTCGGTGGAATTTTGTAGGAAAGTTTATTTATTTTTTGTTTGTGTTTATGGCATGATTTAGTTCTTTTTTTTTTTTTAAGGCTTAATCTATGTAGTAATGATCAATTTACTCTTGGCAGAGAATAGCTTTCTCATACTTGTTGGTGGCTATTTTGGAGATCTTTCTAAAAGATTGAGCAAGCAAGGTTCTTTCACATGGCCACTTCTCTATATTCAAGTGTCACTGTCGGCATTGGTCAGTGCATATAGGCTTTTTCTTGGTCTTAGACTCAAAATTGCATCCTATAAGTATAATGTTTATTAATAACCTTTTGTATCTCAATTTGCAGGGCAATGGGTGTATTTTCACTTATTGTTTACTCTGCTTTTATGTATGGAATATATGTTCCTGATTGGCATTTCACTATCCCTAACAAGGATAATGCTGATTATGGGAAGGTTTTCTCTGTAAGCTCTCTTTGCCCTTAAATTATGCTACAGATCCTTTAAATTCTCCTTCTATGATAGACAGTGCTTTGTTTTTATATATATCTGTTTGATATTAAAGCTTTGGACCATCAGGGTTATGGTTATTAAACATATAAAAACATTATAAACTGTTTAGCAGTTCAGTGATAGTTGTAATGATAAAAATAAGAAACAGTCTTTTGTGAGATTTAACATTATTTAGTGATTATTTCATTCTTCTCTGCAATTGTGGTCTTCAAAGGTATTATGCTATAATAGATAACCTATTGATCTCTCTAATTTTGTAACCACGTTTAGGTAACCTGCAGAGTGAGAGGAAAACTCAATCCTTCTTGTAATGCAGTGGGACTAATAAACAGATCAGTGCTACGAATCAATCAGATGTACCAACATCATGCATGGAGAAGATCTAAGGTGTGTTTTGTAGTGATTCTATCTATAGCTCATCTGCATTTGTAAGTAAGCAATATGAAACCTTTAATCTTCTTTGATGTGCTGCAAGCCTGCATTGAGAATTCCCCATACGAGGGTCCATTAAGAAAAGATGCTCCATCATGGTGTCATGCCCCCTTTGAACCAGAAGGGATCCTAAGGTTTTTTTCTACATCCTTTTGACTTTAAATGCATCTTGGAGGAGCAAGAGCTCCATGCTAATGATTCATATTTATTCAGTTATTATAATGAATGACTGAATATGTGTTGATTGCAGTTCAATATCTTCCCTTCTTTCCACAATTATTGGAGCACATTTTGGGCATGTGCTTATATACTTAAAGGTTAACTTTATGCTACTTGGTTCAAAGTAAACATTTCAAGCTTTAAGCTTCATTTCCTTGATAAATTTGCACTTCCAGGGTCATTCTAATAGATTGAAGGATTGGGGCATCATGGGACTTTTTTTCATTGTTTTAGGACTCATTCTACATTTCACTCATGGTGAGAAAAGTGAAGCTGTCAAAACTTATGTTCATTGTTATCTAAGATTTTATCTAAGATCTTTTTTTATGTTTATCTACTCTAATTTTCCTTTTTCTTGTTGTAGCAATTCCTTTAAATAAACAACTCTCCACTTTTAGCTATGTTTGTGTCACATCAGGAACAGCAGCACTGGTTTTCACAACAATCTATAATCTGGTATGCTGCTCTTTGATCTATACTCTGACAAATCTTGAATCTTGCTTGATTTATGCTTTACGTTGTTAATTTGTAGTTTGTCAAGGATTTACATGCTCTTATTAGCCCAGTTCCTCAAGGAACTCCCTTTCCACTTGTTTTGCTGGGGAAGGTATGATTGTACTATAGAGAAACATTTTCCTATAGTTCTCCTTTGGTTTTTTAATTGACTCTATTTTTGTGATGAATTCATTAATTCTTCTTTCAGTCAAAGAATGCACTATTATTGACTTTCTTATTTCTCAATCAAATTGTTTGGCTCGGCAAAACAAGTATCTATAAGGTATGAAGTTTACTTTATCAATATTTGACTTTATATAACTTGTGGTTGGATTCTGTAAGAAATGTTAATTGGAAAAAAAAAAACTATTATTTTTTGTAGAACAAGGAACGTGATGAACTACTTGGGTGGATATCCCTTTTTTGTTGGATGGGTTTTTCAATTTATAGCAGCTTGGTTAAGGTTTGTTGATCATTATTAGTTATATAAAGTTCTCTCCTGCAATAATTGTTTTTCCATTAAATTCTTCACAAGCTTTAGATCTTTATATGAATATTCTTCTTAAATCAGCTTGGGGAACTTGGGAGGCTTTCAGTATCAATGGAAAAGTTGGAGAAGGAGCTAAAGAACTTTGATAAGTGTCAAGTATGTTTAACATAGTTACTATTTTTTGTGTTTACAGTTGGATTCTCCTATTTGAATTTCCATATTATATTGTAGTGGATAAAAAGGGTAGTGAATGAATGGTATTGTTTGATGAGAAATTTATTTTATAGAGGTTTTTGTGTATTGTAAAATGGGTTAGAGTACCATTTGTTCTCAATATATGAATAAAATGAGTTAGGTTTTTATCAATACAGCAAAAGAATAAGTGCAAGAGAAAATTATAGAATAAAAGTGAATTACCAATTGTAAAAAAAAAAAAAAAAAGATCTATACCAATGGAATTATCCATCTATAAGGGTAAAGGTCTATACCCATGGTAAAATTTTTAAAAATTTTTTAAAGTCTATACCAACGGAATCATCCATCTGTAAAGGTCAAGGTCTATACCAAAGGATAAATCTTTTAAAATTTTTCAGAGTCTATACCAACGGACAAATCTTCCATCGAAATAGATCCCAGGGTCTATATCCACGGATTAGTCGTCGGTATATACCCTATAGTGACGGGGTTTGCACGACGGAAGGCTCTTCCGTCGGAATAGTTCTTGGGGGTCTATACTGACGAAAAAGGGTGTATACTAACGGAAAACTTCTGTCACTATAGATACATCCACTTGTAGTGACATAGAGTATCACCATTTTAAATTTTAGATGTGTCATAGAGACCAAGTCCAAGTGGAAGAATGCTAGAATTATCTCTTCAATGTGGCCATACCACATGTCACGCCCCAGAACCCAAATCTGGGAACGTGGCAGACGCCGTGCACTCGTGAGAGGGTTCCACAAATGCACAAGGCTCGGAACTTACTGAGTTCATAATTACTAATTCAGATGATTCAGATAATATCTAATTTCTTTTTTTTCCTAAATATTTACTCGTCAAAACGTACACAGAGTTATAACTTCATCTATACAATCCTTACTATCATTAAAGGAGTTCTGTACACAAAAGTTTCTAAGTCAAGCATGGATGACTAGTGGCCTAGCTACAAAACCGAATCCAAAAATGCCTAGCCGTCTAGCTCGTCACTCCCCTGGGCTTCCCACGTGTCGGGTCTCACTACCTAAAATGGTGGACAAGGAAACCGTGAGATGCTCAATTCTAGAAAATAAGGAAAATAATAAAAGTTCAACTTCTCTTTTTAATCATGCTCAAATGCAAATAAATCCATTTAAACCTCGCCACC